TTAAAAAAAAGAAGAGCTGTGGTTTCCTGACAGACACTTGTGAGTAGTTTATTTTTCATAAGACTCTTGGCAAGATTTGAAAATAAATTTTCACACCACCAGATAGACAGAAACAAAATGATCAACCTACTAGCATCTGAACATTAAGGGGTCAATTAAAACACTTTTTAAGGTGCAATGTGGTATAGATGGATAACTTTGTTCTTTATAACATTTTGTACAGTTTAAGACAACAATACAGTTCTGGTCAGTGAAGAATTAGAAAATGCAACATTTCTAGCCTGCAAAGAGAGCATTTGCCTTAGAAGTTTAGTAATCAGAGAAGATTTATTTAGCAACAAACCTCAGAGGGAACCTTCTTAGCTGTTTCTTTACCTGTCTCTATGGGACAACCTCTGATTTGTCAAACTCATTATTTTATTGAAGAGAAATAAACTTTGCTTCTAATTTCTAACAGATTCATGTGTGGGAGGGATCACATGGAGTCCTTGCTCTGATCAGTTCCTTTGTGGATTTCTAGGGGCCCCACCATTTGGAAATGCTCAGTCTGGTCTTCCATGGCCTCCACGGGGCCTGCACCCCTCTTGTTCCGCCCTGCACAGCCTCGGGAGCATGGGGAAGAGTGGTCCCCCACTTTGCACACGGCGACCTCACACTGCAGATAGATCACATCATAGCTGTTGAGAAAGTTGAAGGCATTGAACTTGAACTGGGCCATGTTCTTCTGGTGAGAGTGGAGGTTGACATAGGTATTGTCTTTGATGCACCTGATGGGAAGAAGAACCCCAAGCCAAAGGATCAACTTAAAGCATGGTATGAATTCACTTTGACTCAAATGATCAGGCTTGGACACTGACCTCTGAATTCCAAATTGAGTTCTTTCCCTTACCCACTCTTTATTTCTCTGATATATATAAAAAAAGCTTTACAATACTACCATGAGTGGAAAAACCACTATTCCTGCTCAGAAATAGAAGGGAAGTATAAAATAAAAATAGTAAAAACAAAACAAGGTAATTAAATTCTAGCTAGAGCTGTTGCCTTCAAAAGGCCTACTCGATTTTGTCAAAAAGGAAGATGAAAGGTGGGGGTTGTATTACTTAAAGGTGAACTTAGATGATTTTAAAATGCGTTTTGTAAACCCAGTGCAACCACTGAAAAAGTTAGGGAAAGAATTATGATACATCAGGCGAGGAGATAAATGGAATAATATAAAATGCTCAATTAAAAGTAGCATATAAAATGCTTAATTGATACCAGAGAAGGCAGCAAAAGGAGAGTTGGGGGAGGGGAGGGGAGAAGCAAAGAACAAATGCAACATATAGAAAACAATTATCAAAATGGTAGATTTTAATTCAACTGTATCAATAATCACTTTAAAAGTGAATGGCCTAAATATACCGATTTCAAGACAGAGGCTGCCAGAGAAGATTTTTAAAAATCCAAGACCTAGCTATATGTTGCCTATAAGAAATCCACTTTAAATATAAAGGCATAGATAAATTAAAAGTAAAGGAATACAGATTTACTCTGCTAATACTAATGAAAAGAAATCTGGAGTAGCTGTGTTGATTTCAAACAAAACAGCCTTCAGAGCCAGGATAATGATCAGGGATGAAGAGGGGCATTACATAACAATAAATCCTCCAAGAAGACATAACAATCCCCAATATATATGCACCTAATAATAGAGTGTCAAAATATATGAGGCAAAAACTGACAGAACTGCAAAGAGAAATTGCTAAATCCATTGTTATAGTTGGAGACTTCAACACCCCTCCATCAGTAATTGACAGATCCAGCGGGCAGAAAATCAGGAAAGATACAGCTGACCTAAACAGCACTGCCAACCAGCTAGACCTAATTGACATTTATAGAACACTCCATCCAACAGCAGCATTCTTCTCAGGTCCACATGGAATGTTCACGAAGATAGACCACATTCTGGGTCATAAAACACACCTTAACACAAATTAAAAAGAACAGAAACCACACAAAATACATCCTCAGATCACCATGGAATTAAACGAGAAATCAGTAACAGAAAAATTGCTAGAAAATTCCTAAATATTTGGAAATTAAACAACATACTTCTAAGTAACCCATAGATCAAAGAAAAAGTTTCAAAAGAAATTAAAAAAAAATTTCAAAGTATGTGAAAAGGAATATACAATTGACCAGACTTTGTGGGAAGCAGCGAAAGTGGCGCTTAGAGGGAGATTTATAGCATTAAATGGATTATTGGAAAAGAAGAAGAATCCAAATGAACAAGCTCCCACCTTAGGAAATTAGAAAAAGAAGAACAAGTTAAACCTAAAGCAAGCAGAAGAAAAAAGCGTCAGTTGTTCAATTCTGGTACCGACTGTGCCTCTCCCTTTGATGTATTTGTAAGGAGAATTAAAGGCAAGAGCTTTCTCCCTCTGACTTAGTACAGTTTGATGCCACATCTGTGCACTGCCCACACCATGGCTCACACCACCCAGGAAAGGTACTGCCTCTTGCTCTACCCCTGGCTCTGGGAAACAGTCACTACGATGCTTCCTGGGGCTTCCGGATGGGGTGAACTCACCACTCTAAAGCTGCCATCAGTAAGTGATAGGTTTTTTGCGGTGTTTGCACTGGTTGCCAATTGCCCATCCATCAGCATTTTGCCCTTATTAGTGGACAAGGGAGCTAGAAAGGCAAACAACTTGCCAGAGTTCTAACTTGACAAATCCTTTGTTTAACCAAAGAAGCCAGGATAAATCTCACCACTGTAAGAGCTTAGCCTGGGATAACCCACTAGCCCGCCAATATAGGCCAAATGTCCTGAGGACTGGGGAGGGTAATAGAAATCATAAAGCTTAAAGAGAAGGGAATGGGTGTGAGAGGTGGAATAGGACAGTAGAGTACAAGACAGCAAGGGTCCTGCCCAGGACTCTGGCGATTCAAGGGAAGTTCCATGGTTCCAATAATTATTTGTCCCCAAATGGGATCAGAGGGACGGCGAGGGCCTCAACTCTGCCTCTGGGGCGTGATGAGGACTCTTACACAATGTTACGACTTAAGGCTACCAGCTGAGGAGCCAAAGGTCCCCCAGCGGACTGCCGCACGAATCTAAGAGTCAACCCAGAGGACCTTCCGTGTTCCTTACCCTTGCCGGATCAAATCGTACTTGACAGTTGTAAAGTCGCGGGGATCTGGTGAAGCCACGCAGGTATCCACAGAGAGAGTCAGGCTGGGATTGGGGCTGTGGAGTGTGGCCTGGAGGATGACCTCGTTTCTCTGGCTGGCGTAGTACGGCCCCGCGCGCCCCACGTGCTGTGACACGGGCAACTCGAGGAATGATATGGACACATCATGGCCAGCGCTCTGCCTTGGGGTGTCAGCCCCAGGAACAATTTCAATGGCTGATGGGCCGTCCACCCTGCAGGTGAACTTCAGCTGGGGCACCCTGTGCCGCACAATGACCGGGCCAGGGTGGCCCCGTATTCGGCCTCTGATGGAGTTGGAGTAGCTGAGGGAGCCAAGGCTTTCCTGGAAGGAAGAGAGCAGAGTTGGTGGCCAGGGATCCTGGTTCCCTGACAAGCACCTTCCTTCATGAGCAGAGACCTCTGCTGCTTGGTGCCAACTGGCTGACGAGCTGGAGGCGGGGAGGCTTTGGGCCTGGCCTCTGTGGTACCTGATATCATGATGGGGTGACCTGATGTCCTTGGAATTCAGGGTACATGCAGGGAGCCCCCACTGGGTGAGCCTTGACTCCCTTCTTCCCTCCTGTGAGGGCCAAGCTGTGGGGTGGCTGCTGAATTCATCCACACATTCCACTCCCTTAGCCCATGATGTGCTCAGGCAAGAACAGTCCATCCTCACTGGAATTCTTATCCTCTCTCCTGGCTCCTTTCTGCTCTTGACCCCAGACGAGTCCTGGCTCCATGTGAGCTGTGGGCCTGGCCCTGGTGACCGTGGCTTTCAGCCTTGCTCCTTCAAATCCATTGTGACTTAGAGAGGCTTAAGGGGGTGCTGAGGCTGATGAGCAGGGGCCATTGCCTCTGGCAGCCTCTTCCCACAGCCCTGTGTGTTGCCCAGAGACTCAGCCTGTTCGGGGACATTTGTTCAGGGGAGCTTTGCTTTGTGTGATCCAGGTCCTGTGACATTCTGCCGTGGAGCCCCCCGCCCCCCAAGACCTGCTTATACCACTGTTTCTCACTGGCCTGCCTTTTTAGACATTTTCTTTCCTACTCATCCCACTTCCCCTCCAGCCCTATTAAAAAAATTTGTACCAAAAAAGAAAGATTTTTAAGACCCATAAAGAAAGATTTTTTTTTCTTTTTTTGCCCCTAAGAACCAGCATCTCTCCTGCCCCTTGAGGGTGACATCGCCCTCGTGGAGAACGCACAGTTTAGAAGATAAGCTAAACTCATGGCCACAGGGACCTGCTCCCTTCAACCTGACCTTGGGCTTCCTGGTGCTCAGGGGTCTCGAGTCTCTTCCTGGAACCCTCCAAGCGTGCTGCTGCCTCAAGCCTCGGCACCTGCTGACTCCCTTCCCAGTGCTCCTCCTGTTCATCTGTACGAGGTTCCATCTCTTCACGAGCCTCGGGCCTTGGCCCCCTATTCAAAGTGGCCTTTGCTCTTCCCCAAATCATTTTCTGTTCCCGTCTTTGCTTTATTGTCTTCTTAACCCTTTTCACTATAAAGGACTCTCATTTGTGCATTTGTTCAGTGCCTCTCTCCCTTTTCTTGAATGTAAGAGCCATGGAACAAACCCCTGTCAGGCTTATTGGCTGCTATGACCTCAGCACCTAGAATGTTGCCCATTCACAGACTCTGAAATCAGACACAGGAGCTTTTTGCGGTGGTATTTTCCTGGTGGGTAGCCTGGGACTGGTGGTCCCTGACCCGCTGTGTCCTCTGGCCCCAGCAATGTGGTCAGCACACGAGGCCTGCTGGGGAAGCTAGGCCAGTCAGGACCAGAGAGGACAGCTGAGGGTCCCCCCTGATGGCCCAGAAGCTTCTGGGGCTGCCCTCCTCCCAGACACCAGGGGGCTTCCAGCATGATTTCTGGGGCAGAAACTTCTGAGGTGAAAACTAGAACTTCCAGAGCAAAAAGGATAAACATGACCATGGTCTGTATAACCAAATATACAAAATGTCAAGTAAGAAATTAAAGTGCTTATTTGGCATCATGCATACTGTTTGAATGAATTCAACTTCCAACAATGTCAAGTGTGTGTATGTGTGTGTGTGTGTGTGTGTGTGTGTGTGTGTGTGTGTGTGTGTGTCTTTCTGTCTGTCTGTCTGTCTAAACATGGATGGAAAAAATGGAGGAATAGTGTGGGGATCTTCCTCTGGAACATGTTACATTGGTAAATGTCCTGAGAAAAATGATTTTGTGGTTATATGCCCTTCTGATATCTTTGGTATACTTGTTTCCTTTACTTCAATGATATTGTTTTGTGAAATAAACAGGTGGTTAAGGAAAATGAATAAACATAATGCATTTCATTACACATAAATGTCCTATGTATTTACTATCTAGACTGGGAAATGCTAGCTACCTGGTTAAAATCACAGCAGTCAGACAGATAGACAGACAGACAGACAGACAGAACGTCTGTCCTCCCCATCCCAAGCCCCATGGCTTGCACGTGGTAGGTGTGCATGAATGCTGACTAAAGAAGCATGTTGTGAAAAATGCTTTGGCTTTGGAGCTAAGGGAATAATAGCATCCATCCACCCATCCACCCGTCTAACAGCACTCAGCACTTGTTACTGTGTATTCAAAATTCAGTATGTATCCCAAATTCCCAAAAGGAAGGAAAGCTTCAGACAAATTAGTGAGCTGCTCCAGTTCTCACCAAACTCACAAATAAAGTCACAGCTTGTCTCTACCCAGGTTTTTTAACAGGTGGTTGAATTTTTCAAACCTCTCTTGGCTTCCATGCACAGAAGGGAAGGGTACCACCACCTTGTCAGTTTCTTACCTGTTGGACAGTGCCACAGTGACCATAGGGAATGTTGAAGATCAGGTAGCGTCCCGTGACTTGGGGGCGACAATGCTCATCATTTAAACGGACATCCCAGGAGGAGTAGCCCAGCCTCCGGAGATAGCCTCGGTCAATGGTGACTTGAAAGAAGTGAGGCAAGCAGGAGAGCTGGGCTGCAGGAGAAGGAGGCTGGTGAAAAGCTCACACAGAGAACCTGGTCCACTGGATGCATAGGTCAGGGGTGTGGGTGTACGTGTACTCTCTAAAAGTACCATGGATAGTTCCCTAGGTTGGCTCAACTCTCATCACCCCTTACCTTTGACTTGACTTTCACTGACTTTATTTGTATCTCCCTTTTCCAGAAGTCACACAACATCCATAGGGAATTGTACCCACAAAATGCATCCTGTCGGCTGTGAGTCAGAACCTCCTCTAAGGATTTAAAGGACAGCTCATTTCACATGTTGAGAGCCCCTGAGCCTGAACATGCATCTATCTGGGCCTTTGCATGAGAGATAAGTTAGAAAGAGAGGGGAAGCCAAGCGGGAGGGAGGTTGGGTGCAAAGGGGCTTCTTCCCCAACCTCCTAAGGCCCAGTGAGTGGATGGAAATACAAGCGATCTCAGTGGAGACACAGAAGCTGGTCCCCTCACAGCCTTTTCTTTCTTCCCCAGACAATTGCTCTCTTAGCTCCCCCTTTCCACAGCCTCAGACTCGAGGAGAAGAGAAGACTTTACCATTGTCCTTGGGTACAGTAGAGTCAGCTTCACCTGGTAAGGGAAGAACAAGGAAGAGCAAATGTTAACTGTGCAGAAACACTGGAAGAGGGTGATGCAGCCAGCAGTAGACGTGAAATGTAGGGGAATGGGCTCAGGTGATTTAGCTATTAAAGCTGGGCACAATGACATGAAAATAGTCCAGGGCAATGCAAGAGGAAGGAGACCCCAGGGCCTCCTGATGGAGCTGAGGATGGAATTCTGAAGTAGCCTTGAGAATACGGGTGCCATCAACATGAGGATTTGCTGGAGCTGGAGGATAGTACATACAGGGCTTTGCAGGTTGTAAACACCATCACCTGTATGAACTCTGGCTGGCGTCCCTCCCCATGCACAGGGCACATTTGGAAACTGAGGCTGGGAAATATGAGAGTGTGGCTATCAAAGGCCTCCCCAGCCCAGAAGCTGGCCAGGATGGTAACCTAGGGGAAGGGCCCAGGCCAGGAAGTGTGACTGACCAGACTCACTCAACCTCAGCCCCAGACCACGGGTCCTTTGGTTGCTGTAACTGGTGAAAAGGAAACTCCTTGGTGTATAATCCAAGACTAGAAAGTGAATTACCATTTAGAGTGGGTCCTCCAACAGCAGGAGGAATGGCTGGAGCTGTGAACAGACACAATAAAAGTGAGGATCTGGAAAGTAAGCACCCCACAACCCCGGACAGGCTGATACCACATGGCTCCTGCAGGATTAGTGTTTTTCTCAAGGGCACTCTGATCACTTTTCTATTTGGGGCCCATTTCTATGCAAAACAAGAGTAACTCCTACATCAAGGTAAAAGCAATGGCCATGATTTCTTTACCCTGTTTTCCTGTAAAAAGCTCAGACTGGAACAGACAAGGTGAGCTCAGACTTGTTCACTAGATCTTAGAATTCCATACCTCTTTGAGATGTACATGGGTGAATTAAGGCCAAATCTTGGATGAACGGGACCCAAAGGGGGAACTCAGGACATTGTAGGGTTCTAACATCTGAGGGCTAGGTCAAGGTGAAGAATGGTATCCACCCAGGACTGTGCCCTTGATGGTCTTGTCAGAAATTGAAAAAGGGACTTGGACGAATTGTAGTCTGATAGCAGCAAGTGCTATGTCCTTCGTCATTTTTCTTACACTGTCACTTTTTCCTTCGGTCTCATAATCTTTTAGCTGTAGTTCGGAACAAATATATTGCAATTAGACAAAATGGGTCAGTACCGAAGCCTGTATGATTAAAACATTTACCGCAATGGTTGCGTAACAAATATGCTCTTGTTATCCTAGAATCTGGCTCCTTGGCAAACCTGATATTCCTTGGGGTGGTGAATTTTGACCTTAGGAATGTTTGGAGAGAAAAGAAGGGACGGGGAGTCTCCGGAAGACCCCAGGGCCTGGCGTGGCTTGGCGATGGGGCGGGGCAGGGTAGGGGCGCTCGGTACCTGCACAGACCACGCCCGCGTCCTCCTGGTGCTGGCAGTCGTGTTGAGCCCAGCCAGAGTGGGCGCAGTGCTCCAGCGCATCCTCGGTGCCCTCACAGCGCACGTTGTCCAGCAGGATGGGCCCGGAGCCCCGGCCGAAGCGGCAGCGCCCAAGGGCCCTGAGCGCGTGGCCGCAGCCCAGAAGGCGGCACACGACACGGGCGTTCTTGATGTTCCAGTAGTCGTCACACACCGTGCCCCACACGCCCTGGTGCCAGACCTCAACACGGCCCTCGCAGCGGCTGCGTCCATCGACCAGGCGCAGGGGAGGGTCTGCGGGAAGCAAGCGAGGGAGTCAGGTGGGAAGAACGCATGGGCAGGTTCCTACCCTGGACCGCACCTCAGGTGTCTTGTCATTTACAATAGGAAAGAGAACACTGGATGAGTTCTTTGTCTGGTGCTATAGTTCCCTCTGTCTCCCTCTCTCCCTCCTTGTGTCTCCCTCCCTCCCTACCCCACCTTTCTCAGTTGCATTCACTCTTTCACAAAACCGTAAAAGCTTACGGTTTAACTAACTGAAATTACGGTTAATTAACTGAAACCCTGAAGGAATGGCGATTATGGGCAGCCTAATTTCCCAGATACCTAAGAATTTAATCTTTAAACAAAAATACTAAAACCCTTAGCCTCTAAGGAAGTAATAATTAAGCATGAAAAAAAGAGTAAAAAAATAAAAAGTCCTGTGGTTGGGGCCCTGATCTGATAGGATTGATGTTCTTATAAGAAGGGACGCCAGAGCAAGCGCTGCCTTCCTCTCCACCTTCCCCACCTCCCCCTAGCACCACACTCAGGAAAAGCCCTGTGACCACGCAGTCAGCAGGTGGCTACCTCCAACCCACAGGAAGAGCCCTCACTAGACATCAACCCAGGTGTCACCTTCACCTTGGACTTCTAGTCTCCAGAACTGTGAGAAAATACATTTCTGTTGTGCAAGCCATGCAGTGTGTGGGGTTTAGTTATGGCAGCCCTAGCTAAGACAGTGACCTGAGGCAAGCCTCTTCCTTCTTGGGGCCTCATTTTCCTCCAAAGCAAGGGTGGTTATTTAGTGTCTTAACCCCTTGATTGGGTAGGGTATTACCTGGCAACCTGTGAGACATGCAGACTTCAGGCTCCACCTGGACCCACTGAATCAGAATTTGCATTTCTCCAGGTGTTCATTTACACATTAATATTTGAGACTCTCTGGTGTGGGCCATCCCTAAGGTCTCCTCCAGGGTTGACATTTGATGTTATTTTATCTCATTCATCCTGTCCCCACATCTGCCTGTACTGTGCAGAATTCGATCCAGTGATGGGGGCGTGGCCTGGAACCTGCCTGACCTCCCCCCTCCTCTCTCCTGACCTCTTCTGGGGAAACAGGAAGTGTTTACTCTGGTGTGTCAACTTGCTAGGCTGGGGTTTCTCAGAAAGTCACTCACCAGGACTATGCCAAGGAGCAGAGAGCATACCTGGTGAAGAAGGCTCTTTGCCTGAAGTGGGAGTTGTATCTGGAGACAAAGAAGAATCAAACTCAAATATCAGTGAAAAAAATTGAAAAAAAAGGACTTTTTTCTGAACAGCAGTGTGGTAGAAAACAGAAGAGTGAATGGGTAGAATGAATGCTATCACAACTCAGTTCCTGGTGTGTGTGTTTCAGTGTGCGGGACGGGTCAGAGCATCACCTGAAACATAACACGCACCACCAAGCAGGTGGAGGTGTGGACCCCCAGCCCTCGCCTCCCTTGGGCACATCTGATGAAGACCAGTACAACCAGCAGAAGGCATGCCCTAGCGGAGGGACCACTCCTGTGTCTATGGATGAATAAAGAGAACATGAAGCTTAATTTCTGTGAAAAGGATGCTGGGACTTCTGTTTACATTGGGGCTTATACTGTAGACAAATTATTCAGTGTATATGTTCATTTGTAAAATAGAAAGAGGGAGAGTTGATTATATCTAACTTAAGAAATGTGAGAGGCAGAAAACATTACCAGAGGGGATGTCCACTTCTGCAGAGGTTAAAGATGCATCTGTGCAAGAATAAAGAAAATAGGACACTTAAAAATGAGAGAAAGGGCATTTCTGTGTGTCTTTTTATCGAGGGTTAGTCTGTGGTCAAAATGGTCATGAAGTGTGCTCATTTTCTACATAGAATATGCAGGAACGAAGTGGGTCTCATTAATTTAAATAGTACAGTGAGAGAGCCTTTACAAGCTGGAGAGGTCACTTCTACTGAAGTCGAAGAGCTAGCTAGACAAAAAGAAGAAAAAACAAGTACCAGTGGCGAGGACATGTGGGTTTCTATGTTACGGAGTCTGTTTTGGGGACAAAATTTCCATGGAACAGCCTAGCCTGATCAATGGAACTTCAAGAAGAGGCACTTAATGGGACAGTAGACAGTGCTTTACCTGGAGTGGAGGTCACAGCAGTTGAGATTGAAGCTGTAGATGAAAAAAAAATAACAAGGCAGAATAAGACAGCCATATCAGGCACACGTATTTCTATAAGATACAGGAGCTATAAAGATGGCTGTCATAGATCATGTGACTGGCCCAGTTTTCTTTCTTTTTTTTTTTTTTCTTTCCAGACAGGAGCTACTTCAGGGCATGTCCAGGTCCCCCATTGCCTCCAGGCCACCCCGCCGCTCCTTGGGTCTCCATTCCTCTTGCTCACCCTTTACTTCACCCCTTGGAGGTGGAGATGACCTGTTCAGGGGGCAACTACTGCTTCTCCACTGTATGGGGCTAACCTAACAAAGGTTCTGTAAATGGGGGACTTGCTTTCCCTGGTTCTCTCTCCTCCCTTCAAATGCAGGGGAGACAGTGACTCAGGAAAAGGTTAGCTCTGCAGACTGGAACTTTCCCTAGGTGGGCTGTCCCATGATCTCTACTGAGGGTGAGGAGGGGGTGGCAGGTCCATTTGTCTCCTGTTCTAAGTGTTGCCCTCAACTTAGCTTTATCAATAATAAAGGCCGTATTTTGTGTTGACTCTGGTGTTTTATTTATTAATTGCTTTAGCACCTAGAATAGGGGAGAGCACCCTTTTTACTGTCCTTCCCCAAATAATCCTCTAACGTTGTATTTGTAAAATTCTTAAACCCAAAGTCACACCAGGAACTCCTCGGATAATTGCAACCAGCATCTGTTAGCATTTACGGCCATTGCTGATGTGGCTGTGTTTTGATGTTTTTCCCTCCTGGTCCCTGCTCCCCCTCCCCAATTTGTTGTCTTACCTAATACACGTCCAGTAGGGAGACCAGGCAGCCAACTATTATGTGTGCAAGAAAGTAAGAACAACAGGCTCTGTGGAACATACCTGTGTGTATTCAAGTGCTTTACTTCAGCTTGAATGTTGGGACCTCAACTTGGCTGTATAGACACCCTCCTTGTCTATTTCAGGGTTCTAGGCTATTTTTCAAGAGAGTAATTCAGCCAAGTGGACCCTGGACAATTTGTATAGCATAATTGTACTATCTAGGTAGAATTTCAACACAGTAATATGCCTTAGACAGGTAGTAAGAGGACAAATCAGCAGAAAACTTGTTACTAGTTGTAAGGACCAAATCTGTGGCTGAAATTGAGGTAGAAACTGTCAAAACAAGCCTAAGTTAAATTATAATTAAATACCATCCATTTCAATCAAGTTCACTGTTAGTAATTTTTTTTTTTTTAAGATGAGCCATCCTGCCACCTGTTGGCAGCTCAGCGGCTGCTCAGCTCGGGCTGACTCGAACCGCTGTTGCTCAGAGCTCAAACTCTTGAGCAAGCTCTTAACCAACTGAGCCTCTCAGCCGGCCCCACTGTTAGTAATTTTTTTACAAGTCACCCTGTTTACAAATTATGCCCCAGTCGTGTTCATATTTGATTATGCTCTGTTCCTATTTGGTTTTATATTCTCTGTTTTATTAAGCTAAGGGAAATAAAGAATGGAGACCATGATGCATGGATCTGGGACCTAAGAGACCTGGGTTCTAGTCTCTGCTCTTTGTGAAACCAAGCACTTGACCTTGGGCAAGTCCTTCTGTTTTGAATCTCCAAGCTGTTGCATCTGAAGGGCTAGTCCATGGACCAGCAGCACCTGTTCCACCTTGTTAGAAATGCAGTCTCTTAGGCCCACCCCTACTGAATCAGAATCTGCATTTTAACAAGGTCTCTAGGTGACTTATATGCACATTAAAGTTTGAGAAGCACCATGTATCCACAAGGAGATGCCTCCAGGCCCAGAAATAATTGGCGTGGGCCAGTAGGGAGCTAGACAGACAGAACATGCCCATATAAAGGGGGTAGGGGGTCTCCTGCTCAATCCTAGACAATTGGTGCTCTGCTAAAATTCATACTGGTATTTCCCATCCTCTGGTTTTTCCACCAAAGCTTGAAATCTATACTTTTATATGAAACCTCTCTTTTAAAAAATGTGGTATTAAAAAAAGTTAAACACTGCATAAACAAAACTGTTATCTGATCAAAACCCATTCATGAATCAAAAGTGGCCCATTGGTTTCCTGTTGGTGAGTTCTGGTTTGAACAACCTCTAATGTTTCCTCCAACTCTTAGAAAAATTTTACACCGTGATGGTACCACATCAAACTTGTCTTGGCCTAAGAGACCTGGAGGCCACTTCTCACAGATCCAACCACAAAGAGAAATTTGTTTCATTGTCTGATATTCCTTAGAGGTCAGGTTCTACCAAGCCTTGCAGAAGGCTCTGAGATTTTGGAAATATGGACCACAGAGTACTTTCATAACTGTTTACAGCTCAGAGAAAACTTAAGCAATGGTATTTCTCCAATGTACTTAACCATATATGGAGCAGCTCAAGCCCTAGGATGATCCCCAAAGTGCACAGAAGAGGGAAGTTCACAGAAGAACACATTAGAGCGAGGGAGGTCTCAGCAGGTAGTGGCACACACATCCCTTCGGAACTTGACTACTGAGCTCCCATCACTGTGTGCGTGCACAAATGTGTACACTAAATCCTCAGGACAGACTTCATCCTCCTCTTCTCCAGATGAAGAAACCGAGGCCTGAGAGCTAAGGGGACTTTCCCACTGTCACTCTATTGGTTAAGGATGGAGCCCGAACACAATCCCAGGTTCTCTGGCTGCAAATCCTGTGGTGCCACATTTCCACTCTAAAGATTTCAGTGGTCGGGCCGGCCAAGTGGTTCAGTTAGTTAAAAGCGCTAGCTTTGAGCAACAGGGTCGCCGGTTCAATTCCCACATGGGCCAGTGAGCTGTGCTCGAGCTGAGCTGCCGCAGAGCTACCAACAGGTGGCAGGATGGCTCAGCTGGTGAGAGCACGTGCTCCTAACAACAAGGCTGCCGGTTTGACTCCTGCATGGGATGGTGGGCTATGCCCATCTGCAACTAAGATTGGACATGGAACCTTGAGCTGAGTGGCTGCGAGCTGCTGACGGGAGGCTGGATGGTGACTGGACTTGGAGCTGAGCTAGCTGTGCCTTCTACAACTAAGATTGAAGGACAACAACTTAACAACTTGGCTGTTCTCCTTCTCCAATTTCCCAATAGAAATCTTAAAAAAAAAAAAAAAGAAGATTTCAGTGGTCAAAGAAGTTTGAGAAACATGGGGTTAGGTAGAGTTAGAAAAAAAAAATCTCCCACTGCAGGACTAGTCAGAGACTTTAATGTGCTAATAGATTATGAATCTTAAGTGGGGGGGTTATTTATTTCCTCAACTTATTTAGCCAGGAAATTTTTAAAAAAATTTGCATATCATTGGGTTGGTGGACTGTTGGGAGCCGGCTGCGTCTCAGTGTCTGACATGGCCAAGCACACTGCAATTGTGACAAATTCTTAAGCTCTGACTGGGAAACAGATACTGCTTTATATCGTGAAGAATTTAAATTCCCCTTCTAATAGATATATCACAATAATTATATTTTATACACTAAAGGCAATTTTGGTCACACTACTAGTCTCTTAGTAAAGGTCAAAGTACACACCCTGTAAATCTTAAGATCCTGCTTAGACAATAGTTTTTAGAATAAATGTTGGGTGGTCATGGTAACCATCCTTTGGGCGATTATGTAGAGGCTCAGGCCTTGGGAGTCATTGTAGGTGGAGGGATTTGGACTCAGTTAAGATAAGTTAGTCTTTAGCATAGAAAAGGTATAGCTGTTCCCTGGAGCATAAGAATTATGAGGAAGTAAAACCCTGATACTAATGGAAAAATAGTTAAACTGCCCAGTATAAAAAGGGGCTTGCTGTAAAAATAAAGTGAGACACTTCTTTTCTTGAAAAAGCACTCCTGTGTCTCCGGGCGTTTTTTTCCTTTTTCCTCACCGACTCCGCCTCCACCTGAGGGAACCCCTGGACCTGCGGGAGCTGGTCTCCCGCAGTGGACTGTACTGTGAATCACACATGTGGGAGATGTGGTACTCTATTATTTTCTGAAAATGCAGACTAGAGGGATAGTTTTGCCTGAGATATTGGAAGTCCTGTGACGGTTAAAAAATATCAACTCACTGAATACCCAAATGTGTGAACACTGTTGAGAATATGAGTGAAGCTCATGTCACTATAACTGGCTTTCAGAGACCTGAAGGGACTCTGAAATGACACCAAGGAGGGAGGGAGCAAACTGGACATTCATGTCCTACCTACGGGCGGTGCACAGTTACTGTCTGTTCAATTTACTATTTCACTCAACAAATAGATGAGCACCTTTTATTAGTTTGATATGAGCCTGGTACTTTGTTTCATATGAAGTATAAACTCCAAGGCTAGCTATGCATATGCGATCTATAAAAGTGAGAAAGAAAATAAAATTACCAGGTGAAGTGGCCATTTCCATGACTGATGCTGAAATTGTAAAACAGAAACTAAAATAAGATGAAAATCCAAACAAAAATCCCACCCGCAAATAGGAAATTCAGAAGATACTTTTTTATTTAAAAAATGTATACCTCCTGTATACTCAAATTAGATAAAAATGGCTTCTGAAATGGGAAATTAAAAATAAGAAAGTTTTCTTGGATGAGACCAAAACAGAGATGAGGATGCCGGAAGTGAGAACTGCTCAAAGGTTATGAGAACAATATAATTTCCCCATAGCCTCAGGAGAAAACATGCATGAGTACCTGAGCAAACGACTCCCGCGTCCTCATGGTGACCACAGTTGTGGACGGACAAGCCCCGATGCTGGCACTGGCCCAGGGTGGTCTCATTACCCTGGCACTGCACGTCGTCCAGGAAGATGCCCCCCACACCCTCCCCAAAGTGGCCGCTCTGCGGGGCTCTGACGCCTTCCCCGCAGTCCAGCTGTTGGCACACCACATGGGCGGCGTTGATACCCCAGAGGTCGTCACACACTGTGCCCCATGTGTCATCGTGGTATACTTCAACTCGCCCTTCGCAGCGATTCCTCCCGTCCACCAGCCTGATGACGGCCAAGTCTGGGGAAGACTCAGGGGTTATTACTGGAATGTGATCAGCTCTTCTTGCAAGTAATGTCTGGTGGGACTTTTTAGTTCCTCATATAATAAACGCTGAATTCCAGCGCTCTAGAAACCCTTATTTCCTTTTTCTAGCTTCCATAGAAATAAGTCAAATGAATGCTCACAAATTCAGTGATGGGCTTTTCCAGCCTGTTTCTTATTTCATGTAGTTTACTCCATCACTCCCATTTTGGATTTGAAATATGGTCAGTGCAAAGGTCAGATAAATATCTATTTTAGAGCTGAGCCATCAAATTGCTAAGCAACAAAGGAATATGTCAAACTCAACTTTTCATGATTTCTTTAGGCCAAACTTGTCCACTGGCCTAGACTACAAGTTAAATCTGACCAGACTAGACATGCGGCCACCTCTGCTGGTGACCTGTCTGCCCATATCAGCCCTGTGTTTTCTAGTCCTGGGGGAGGCATGAATCTAGGTGGGCACTGACATCACTGGTTCTAACCTCAGGGAGTCTGCTAGAAAGATGCGATAACTAGGAAACCTTAGATGATGCATAACTGAAACAAACAATAAACAGATTACCAACTGTAGGAGCTGTTTCTGCTGACTCTGGGACAACTTCAGCAGCTAAAAGAGAAAACCCAGGGCATTCGTGTTAGTGGATTTACAAAACGCTCGTGGGTTACAAGCAGAGCGGGCACACAAACCCATATTTGTGCCAGCGTGGTGGTTCAGAACATTTTGACAAATGCAGCACTGTCACAAGCAGTCAGCATTTTGAAAGACTGAGTCCAGACTAGGTAGTGTCTCTGAACCTGGGTGAGACCCTGGCTCTTTGACACTAACGGGACGCGTCTATCTGAGTTTTCCCCGGGGGCATCCGTGAGCGCCCCTCAGAGGATCTGAGGCTACAGAAAAGACAGGTGAGCATTTGAAGCCATTTTAGTTCAGAGTTTTCATTGGGAGGTGCCATGACTTGTTTGAAACATCAAACACTCACTCTTCAAATTAAAAAACTATGGACCAACAGAGTGGGATAGAAATAGTCTTGCTCCTGTCTTCACCTTCACTCCGTTGGGGGCTTGCTCCGCCTGGCCCTCTGAGGATGGAGGGGGTGACCCTGGGCTGGGGAGGGACCTGGCAGTAGGGTGGGGAGTCGCAGATGTTTGTTGCAGACATTGTTTAGTAACAAAAGGTAACAATAGGGCTTTTAAATATTCATTTGGCCTTTTTAGATGGTTGCATATAATTTCCCTAGTGGCAAAAAAACCCCAACTTTGTCAATCAACAAATCAGAAGAGTATTCATATATAGCTCTCTCTGAGAAACAGCTTCATGAGAAATTTATGAGATTGACACACATAGAAAAATCATTCTGGAAATTATAAACCTTCCCAGAGCAGAGACACAACTCCCTGGTTCCCTAGTATGATTTTGTTCATAGTATCTGTTCTCTTCTCTGGGCCAGGGGAACAGGCTATGATACTGGGCACACTTGAGACAAGTGTGACCAAGGTCCTGGATTTTGAGTCTGAGAGGGTCCCCGGGACATGGGGCTGTCTGTGCTAACACTGGGAAAATTCTGAGCAAGCTGGGCCAAGGCGTTTACCTGGCCTGGGACTCCAAGACTTTCAGGATTGGCCTGCTTGGCAGGTGCAGCTCTGCTGCTTGGGAGGGACACCCAATCTTGGGAGTGTTCAAGTACCTGAGCAGATGGCCCCAGCGTCCTCGTGGTGCCCACAGTTATGCACAGACAGGCCAAAGTGGTGGCACCGCCCCAGGCTGGTCTCATTGCCCATGCACCACACGTCATCCAGGAAGATGGGGCCAAAGCCATCACCAAACAGACTGTTCCTTGGGGCCGCCAGGGCCGCCCCGCAGCCCAGCTGCCGGCATACCACCTGGGCGGCAGACAGGCTCCAGAGGTCGTCGCACACCGTCCCCCAGGTGCCGTTGTGCTGGATCTCGACGCGGCCCTCACACCTGCTTTTTCCGTTGGCCAGTCTCACCACGGGCAGGTCTGCAGGAGCCAAGAACCGAGTCAGCACGAGAAGGTTCCCTCAATTCTCAAACAAGCCAGTATTTCCAGTTAGAGAATCCTACCCCAGACTGTGGATTGCTGTCCAGGCAGCATGGATCCACAGGAAATTACACACGCAGAGGAAAAGATATGACTGCTGCCTGTAGCTGAAACTTAGCACAAACCATAATGTTTTTTCTCACTGGGCAGTTTCTTTATGGGAAACCACATGTTGGTTTTGTAAAAGACCTGTACACTTAGAAATCACCTTTTGCTTTCATCCCCTTCTGGGTATATCATGCTTTATGTTGTTTCTCTAAAAATTCAAAAGAGTTCAGCTGAATGTTTGGGGTTCAGACTTGGATTTCTAACCCAGATCTCTCAAAGAGTATTATGAAATTCTCAGAACACAATTAATTCCACTTTACTTGAATTTAAAAATTATAAAGTATTTATCAGAGGATGATGGAGAAGGTTGGGGGTTAGAATAGCAAGCAGAGGAAGAGATGGCATCACTATGGCAAGAAGGTAAGGAATTGGCCAAGTGACACTGGGCCCTGATCCAAAAGCAGATAAAGTTGATTCTTAGATTCTGAGATTGGGCTAGCTCAAGGGGTCCCTTTTGAGAAGAGCCCATAACAGCGCTATGTGGTTCAAGACCTTGATACAGGGCTTTTAATGATGCTACGAGGGTTGGGGGGGCAGTGATTGGGCTCTCCTTGAAAAGATTCTTACACAAGAAGAATCCTCCATATTACCAGGTTGCTTCTAATGAGCACGCTTCAATTCCACGCAGCACCAGGGCTATGAAAATAATGTTGGCTACATTTCTGTTGGCCCCAGCCTAAGAAAAAGTGACACAATGTAAGAATGGAAAAAGTACCTATTGGATGGAAAACACCTGGCTGTTTCGCAGGAGTCGGAGAAACTACATCCGTAAAAAGAAAAGCAGTCATTGTAAGTACATGCCAAACAAACACAAAGAAATCGCATACACTTTTCCAGCATCATCAAAACCACATGCGTGAGTTTGCCTTTAAACAACCCCATCCAACCTCTAATCAAATTGTTACCATTTAAAATGTATGTGATGGTAGCTCATAGTTGCGTAGACATTATTCTGATTAAGAATAAGAAAATGAAATAAAATTGATGTTGGGCTTGTGAAGATGTGACCATAGGCCTCGGGCGCCTCGTCAGAGCCGAGTTAAGCATCCTGGCTCCCAGGTAGGGCTGCAGGTGAAGGAGCAGCTCCCGCCACAAGGCCCACCTGCCCCCAGGCCCCTCTGCCCTGTCTGGCCTGCCACGGTTTCGCTGCAGGAGCCACCACTTTGGGTCAAGAGACACCATCTGAGGGTCTGGCTGAAATGCAGCTCTTATAGGTGGAAAGGATCACACATCAACCTGTTAACACCCAGAGCAGCTTTTCCTCTGGGACAGAAGAGCAGGGCCCTTCGTGTATATGAAACGGCCCTGGGTCTTCACCTCTAGAAGGGAGGAAGGGCCTGGAGCTCAGAGCATTATCAAGGAAAGTTAAGGCTGGAGGGCTAGTCACCAATCAGCAAACAAAATCTATGCGAACTCACAGATCCCTGGGGGTCCAGATGCTGCAGAATCTGCAGAGATAAAGGAAACATGACAGTGGTTTAATAACAGAACCCAGGATGGTGGAGCGGCTCAAGGGTCATTGTCTCAGTGTCAATGGGGCTGGAGTAAGCAATTATCTTTAAGCATCTAGGGCTGTCCCCTCTGGGTCTTTACAGCCAGGTGTGGATGGTTCCACCTGGCAAAAAACTCTGAGGCAGTGATTCTGAGAGGGTTTGGCTTAGTAACCACCACCACCACCACCACCACCACCACCCACAACAACGTAGTTAACATCCTCGTGCATTTATGGTGCACCATATTCTTGACTAAATGTCCTCTGTGGAATGCTTCATTTAATCCTCCCAACAACTTCATGAGAAAAGTGCCATTATTTTCTTTATTTTACAAGTGATTAATCTTTGTAGACACTCAAGTTGAATGCCCTCCCACATATTAAACGCTTGCGTATTTTTCAGTTAGAACCGAACTCTGCTGTCCCAGACATGGAGGAGATTTAAGGTATGGAGGCATTTCCAGACTCATCTGCAAATTCCAGGCTTGGCCTGAGCAGCGCCCTGAGTGGCCCAGAAGGGACCTGTGCTCACCTGAGCAGATGACGCCAGCGTCCTCATGGTGACCACAGTTGTGGGTGAACCAGCCGCCGTGAAGGCACTGCCCTAGAGAGGACTCTCTTCCTGTGCAGTTGACTACATCCAGGAGGATGCTGCCTGACCCGGGGCTGAAGCTGGCCCCTGGGAGGGCAGACACGGCCAGGCCACAGCCCAGCTGTCTGCAGACCACATGGGCGTCCTCTATGGACCAGCTGTCATCACACACCGTGCCCCAGGTATTGGCGTGGTAGACTTCCACTCGGCCCTCACACCTGCTTGACCCATTCACCAGCCGCAGGCCCAGACCTTGGTGGACATTCCAAACAACAACCTCCATCAGGGCTCATGCAGATAGGCCACCGGAAGAGAAATCCAGGGTTTCCTGGAAACTGTGCGCTGACAATCAATAATAACAACTCTACTCCCCGCTTCACTTCATTTCATTGATTGTTGCCTTGGGTGCTACTCAGTGTGTTTTCTGAGGAGGCAACCGGTTAAGAAACAGTTCTGCTCCTTAGCCCGCTGGCCCAGCAGTGACCTGTGTCACTGCACAGCTGCCCCCTTCTCTTTCACTGTGTGTTGTGAAGCCTTGGTTTCTGATGCTCACAGGGTTTGTTGGATTTTTCAGGAGAAGCTATCCTTCACACACTAATTGGCGTGCAAATAAGATTCTGCCCTTGCACACGTCGATCAAATGACAATAGCAATAGCTCTTGTATATGCTGTTCCTAATCAGATACAACCATATATGTGACTTCCCGGGCGTATAAAAGACAGTCATTACAGACCCCCATGTTCAAAGGGCAGTTACAAAAAAGGGTAGAGACTGGATATGTTCAGAACACAGCCAAGATGAGCTCATGGCAGAAATGGGTAGAGATTTGGGCTAAGCAGGGTACCACCATTCACCTTCCTAGGTGTGAGCTTCCTAGCCAGCCCCCATAAGCCATTCTTGCATCCCCCAGTTTCTTATTTCCTCTCACTTTCCAATCACAGGTTTTCTGGGTAAACCTAGATAGTTTCAGCCCTTCCTCCAGCAGCAGCCTTTTGTACGGCTGAGGTTGTGCAGGAAGGCAGTTTCAGCAAGTAATGCTGGAGTTTTTCCTGACCTAAAACTCTACAAAGGGAAGGCAACTGAACAGAGAAGAAAATATTACCTGTGGATGTGGGCACGTCTGTTGGCTTTGGAAAAGGTGCTAAGGACAGATAGAAGAGCGAAAGAAAAAAGTTATACTTCTTAAGCGTCAAATACATATAACTTTCAATCAACTGTCAGGGGGTGCTCTACCTCGTGGATCGTCTACAGTTTCTGAGTTTAAACCGATTTCCTTCCCAAGTCCTTCCTCTGTGGGGAGTACTCCTCCCGTCACCCAACCGGTGTGTCTACAGCCCAAGGGATAACAACCTCAAGGAAATCAAAGCATGGCGGTTGAGAGGTATTTTATAAAATCAGATATATTTTAAAGTCAAGAAGGCATTCTTTGGGGCTCGCTGCTATTGAGCATAACCTGCTCTGGTGCTTCCTTTGAAGGTTTGGGGTCATTTCTCTTTGTCCTCAGCTCTTTCCTGCATATTGTAATTTGCTCTTGAAGACCCGCCATGGAAAGCAGTGGTCCTAATTTGAAATGTGACAACTATTGGGCCTATCACAGAGTCAGGGAAACTAAAAATTGGTGCTTTCAGCTCCTTTATCCTTTACAATTCTGTCGAGTAGACAGCAGTACACAGAGGTCAATGCCTACTGTGCTTGGAAGACGTGGGGTGAGAAGGTAATGACTGACGTCTAAATAGTGGGCCCACATGGCCAGCACGCCAGCTGCTACCCAGAGAGACCCACTATATCCCAACATGGCCTTAGGAGGCAAAAGCCATGTTCCTCCTCCTCCTTATCCAAAACCAAGGGGTAAAGTGGCTCAGAGATTCACTCCAGGTCCCACAGCTAGGAAGTGATGAAACCAGGATGACAAATCCAGGGCTTTTGCCCCCTAAGCCATACTCTACTACCCTAGGTGACTTTGTCGAAGCAAGTTACAGTTAATCAGTTAAGAACAACTGAAATTACCTGAAGTTAGGTGACTCACAGTGGCTGATGGTGTTGAGTAAGTCAGCGAGGCTATGAGAAACATAAATGAAAAGGTATGGCGGGTCATGCCCCTCCAGCCATCTTAAACCCAACAGGTCAACCTGCTTATTTGAATCAGAAAGGTACATGTCTTGTTCTGGGGAGAAATTGCACCCAATGTGGACATCTGAGAATGGCCCTGAGTTACCATGGTTACAACCACCAGCTGTCCTGGGTCATTGGTTTCATGTCTGTCCTGCTGCTGGCCACTGTAATGTCATTTTGTGATTTTTTTTTTCCAGTCGGTGGCCACAGTGATATCAGGTTGCCTAGTGTGGAACGCTTATCTTGCCAGTTGCTTTGTTTATTTAACTCTTCTTGTGTGTGTGGGTCGTTTCTTCCAGAGTAAATGTCAGTTTGCAAAGGGCAGAAACACATTATCTCAAAGACATACACTGGCGACTTCAGCACCGGGAGGGAGCTGATGGGCCCGAGAGTAAGCATGGAGCTGAGCCAGGAGCGCCGGGGCAGGGGTGAGAGAACTCAGAGCGGCTGCTTGGACTTTTCCCATCACGCCTGACAAACCCCCCATCGCTCTACCCAGGGCCCTGGTTCCAAAACTCCCTGCTCTCTAAGCCCCCAGCCCTATCCTCTGATGTCCCACTCAGCATGTGGCTTCAGCTCTCACTTTGCTCAGAACATCGATTCTGCCTATTCCTTTACTTCTCTCCTCTCCCCTCAGAACCCTCTAGTACCCCCACCCCCCCGCCCCCGTTTGCCTTTTCATCCTGGTCACTGCGGCCAGGTCTGGCTGACGAGCCAGTTTGTCTCTTACCAGCCAAACCCAAAAGGATGTGGAGATAAATGGGGCTTTTGACTCCAACTACTGAATTTATTTGCGGAAACTCAACTGGGATAAGGAGGTTGAACCAAAGGGATGGTTCCCAGAGGCTTAACCCGTCACTGGTGGGACATGAGATCATCTGAGGTGGTTTGTCTTCTATTTTAAGAGTTCATTTCATTAAAATTCATATCCATTTCATTAAAATTTAAAAATGTACATTCAGATCCATGCTAGTTAAGGATATTTTCAGATATACTTGGCATAAATTGATTAGATAAGATGGTTCACTATATTTTAATTTTTAAACATTTTAACATTATTTTATTGCTGCTGCACTTATTTTTATGTATTATTTGTTTATGGCAAGTGACCTTGGCTGTTCATTTGTGGTGGTGATATAAAGTTTCCTTGTGAAGTGAATTCATTTAACTGAAAAAAAAAAAGAGTCCATGTAAAGGAAAGTATTAAGAAAATTATAGGGCCGGCCGAGTGGCTCAGTTTGTTAAGAGTTAGCTTAAGAACATGAGCTCTGAGCAACAGGGCCGCCGGTTTGATTCCCACATGGGCCAGTGATGCTGTGCCCGAGCTGAGCTGCCGCTGAGCTGCCAACAGGTGGCAGGATGGCTCCGCTGGTGAGAGCACGTGCTCCTAACAACAAGACTGCCTGTTTGATGGTGGGCTATGCCTGCCCGCAACTGAGACTGAACTCGGCATCTTGAGCTGAGCTGCCGCGCGGATGGCTCAGTGGATACAGCATGTGTGCTCTTAACAACAAGGCTGCTGGTTCAACTCCCACATAGGATGGTGGCTATGCCCACCTGCAACTAAGATTGAACACAGCACCTTGAGCTTAGAGGCCACGAGCTGCTGATGGGAAGCCAGAATGCGACTGGCTTTCTCCACAACTAAGATTGAAGAATGAAAACTTGTCTGGTTCCCCTACCCCAATTCCCCAATTAAAAAAAAAAGAAAGAAAATTATAGTGTGGGTATTAGGTGAGTGTGGTAGCGATCATGCTGGGACATCTGAAGGGCTGAAACTTGGCGAACAGTGGCTGACGGATGAGGGACTGTCCGGGATTTCCCTATTGCTCTAACTACAGTGGGGACCATCATTTCTCACCCCCCAACCCCTGATTCAGGCCCACCTGAGCATATGACGCCGGCATCTTCATGGTGGCTGCAGTTGTGGGAGAACCAACCATTGTGCAGGCATCGCCATAGTCTGCCTTCAGTCCCCACACACTCCACGTCGTCCAAAGCAATGGGGCCCTGGCCTCGGTCAAAATGCGCCCTCTGGGGGGCCGATACAGCCATGCCACAGGCCAGCTGCCTGCACACCACCTGGGCGTCACGCAGGTCCCAGCTGTCGTCGCACACTGTCCCCCAGGTGCCGTTGTACTGTAGCTCCACACGGCCCTCGCATCGGTGGCGGCCGTTGGTCAGCCTGAGGGCCACATCTGGAAATGCAGACAAACCTGGTCCCTGCTGTGGGCACTGCCTACTTGCCACTGCCTTCAAGGAAGACCTGGCGTTTCCTCTGAGCTGACCACCTTTCGAGGGGTCCACTCTCATACCAGGGGAGGGAACTACTGTGGGTTAAAGTGGCTGCCAAGGTACTTTGGATGTGATCGCTCATGTCAGGGTGAGTTTTGGGGTGGCGTTTTTTAAAGCTTTTTTCCCAGACAAGATTGTCTACTTGACAGAGGCCAAAGGAGGCCCCCAGAAGCCCTGCGTGAAGTGGGAAGCACCCTGGATGCAAACACTGGTTGTTACTGCCCTGAGTGAGGAATAGTGCTCTTTGGGCAGGTGAAAGAAACCACATGCATTTTGAATGCAGCCGGTGCAAAGGGAGCATCAGCCAGTGTGACGTGCCCTGATATCAGAAGATGGAGGTGAGTGCATTGTTCCATGGCAGCGTTGGGTGTTCAACCACTTTCTCCAGGCAGATCTTGGGGGTAAACGAAGGAGCATGGGAACCCCTATCTAATTCCTACTGCCCAGGCAGGGTTGGCCATCCAACCTCACCACCATCACCAAACAGGGCCAGGGGCTAAAATGGCCAAAGGACCTACCCGTATTGTTCTCGTCTGGCACAAGAGACTCATAGGTGGCATAAAAGCCGATGTTGGTGATGATAGCATCGCTGTGGAAGACGACGGTCAAGCGATTTGAGGAGGAGGTAAATATTGGGGTTGTACTGGAACAGAACCTCCCCAGTGACAAAGATTCGCTTTGTGGACCATCGAAAATTTCCAGGAAGTCGTATGGACAGCCATAGAAGTTTTCCAGCCTGTGAAGTAACCATATCATTCAAACTCAAACCACTGGGGCTTTTCCCCAGTAAGCGCCGCCCAGGTTGGTTCAGGAAGGGTTCTGCAAAGGCTGTCTGAAACCTCCATCTCTTCACATAGGTCAGAGGAAATGAAGACCCTGTTGATGTAGGCAGTATGTATCTTCCTGTTTCTAAAAATCTTTTCATTTTTTAACATTTTCATTCAATTATATTTTCTGAATATGTATTACAAATACAAGGAACATAGCTGAAGTGGTATTGACAGGTATTTGGGGAAAAGTAAATTTTCTCCCACCCCTGAGTAGCTCCTCTCACTTCATTCTCCTTCCCAGAGGCAGCTACAATCAACAGCTTCTTTATGTTTCCTTCCAGAGAGAGTCTATGTACAAACGGCAGCTATTGTACCATTGTCCGTGGTTTTCTTGCAGATCATTTCACAGAAATACACCCTACACATGTGACAGCAATGTACAGGTGTACCAGAAGCTATCTAACTGATCTCCCATTGAAGGGCAATTAGATTTTTTCCAATCTATGCTCCTATCAGAATGTCACCATGATTATCCTCAGTGTCATGAGACTTTATCTGTAGATCAAATTTCTGGAACTAGAATTGCTGGGTTAAAAGATCCTTGTGCTTACATCTTGATCAAGATTAATGCCTTTGAGAATTAAATATGGAAGTTGGTACTTTGGGGAGGAAGGGATAGCAGGCAGTTTAATGGAGTAAAGAAGAAAGTAAAAGTAGAAAATACTCACTTCAGCACCTCAAATGTAAGTTTGACATGAGCTCTGGTGTCCACTTGAATGTCCCAGGCACATACCACATTTGTGGGGTATTTTTTAGGATACCAAGGGCTGGAGAAGGAGCCAGAAGCATTTGTGAGCAAACCGCCACAGTGGAAATTTTCATCTGCAAGAAACAGTGAGGAAACTCTATCAGAAGGGGCAATGGCCTCTGCTGGTATTTTTAGAGGAGTCAAGAGGGGACAGAATGAAGGCAAAAGTCAGGAGAACTTTTTCTAGGGCTCCTTTGGCCAGTAACCAAAATGTTAGCTTTGGAGACCTGTCTGAATTTCCAATGTTGTTCTTTGTCAGATAAGATCATTACATGTGTCCTGTTGGGCTTACAGGGTTTTGTAAGGAGAAAAAATAGTGACATATGGTTGAAAGAGCTTTATGAACCCACATGCACAGATAGGTCCAAGCATGCATTTTAATGAAAAGGGTGCAAAGACTATGCAAGCCACAGCGCCCTTTCTTAGTACAATGTCTTATAAAATACCTCATATTAGAAGAGCTCCCATATTATATACAAATCCTAGCTGAAATCAAGACCAAGGTTTCTTAAAGTATCCAACTTATGGCTGAAATATTGGATTTGGTATGGAATCTGTTAAAGGACCCTTTGTGCTGCAGCTTCTCATATGCAAAAGGAAGAAAGAGGCTTCATCTAGCTGCTGGAAGTGCTAAAATTGAAACAAAGCAAATATGAACCACACGACGGGTTTAAATAAAGCTGAAGTTGGGGCCGGCCGAGTGGCGCATTGGTTAAGAACTGGCTTGGGACGCCAGAGGGCCCCGGTTCGGATCCCACATATGAGGGCCAGTGACACTGCCCTCTACAGCTAAG